ATGCAATAAACTCGGCTGGAACTTCCTGATCGTGTTCCCTCCCTCTTATTCCCCCCCCCCTCTCTCTCTCTCTCTCTTCATCTATCTCTATCTATCTATTTCTCTCTCTATCTCTCTCCCCTCTTTCCTTCCCCGCCTGACAGTATCACCGTTCATGGATGCCGCGATATGGAAACGGTGGCATCTCGTCTCTCTCCTATCTTGATCGAATGACCTTTCTCGCGATGACGAGCATTAGGCGGTGAGAGAATCTAGGGAACGCCGACGACCTTGGTTACCGTGTTCGTGGAGATATCACCGAGCCGGTCAATTGGGTCAGGTGCGCGCCGATACGCAGCAGGTAGGGTGGCCATCTTTCTCCCGGGTGTGACTGGGACAATAGGGAGAAACTGGGATATCCCCTAGTTCTTTTTAAACGAACGAAACGTCTGTATTTCTAATTTCTTTTATTACGTTTTCACAGTTATTTTTCTATTCGCCGAACGTATTACAATGAAATAAGCGTTGGCACTGGTATTATAATATGAACAATGTTTCGCCTGGAATTTTGAAATTTTAATAAAGCGAGACGACGAAAACGTTACATCTGATTATTTAATCGTGCATTGAAATGCGAAACTAGAGGAAGCGAAACTAGAGGAAGCGAAACATTGTAAAAAAACATAAAAGAAAAAGAGGAAAAAGGTAGAAAAAAAGAGAGAGAGAGAGAGAGAGAACAGCCGAAGACGATGTTCGGGAAAGAGGACATGTCCATGGAAATCTGGTTACTTCAGGTTACAGTGGGTATTCACGAGTGAAAGTCGAAACCGCATGCATTAGGCTTCGTAAATTACATCGGCGGATCTGATTGACGTTCAATATCGCGAATGACGCGCAAATATTTTCATCTGACGACATCATCATCGACGCCGATTGACTCGAGATGAATGACTTTAAACGCTTGCGGGACGTTCGCGACCACCGGTGAAAGTAGGAACCTTCGGTGTAAACTGGGTTACGAATAATATTGATCCGAGAGAAGGTGATGGAGGAGGAGGTGGTGGCGGCGATGGTGGTGGTGGTGGTGATAGTGGTAGATTTGAGTCGCGTTTG